AAAACATCTTTAAATTTAATATCTATCGGGTGACGAAATTTAAATTTCCACCATCTTATACCATCGCTGGGTAGTACTCCGTGTGATCCTATACCTGAATTGTGATCGATCCAATCCGTTTGTTTATTTTCATCAGGTATACCAGTGGATGTATAAGGAATGTCCAATTTACGTACATCCACCCCGCAAATACTCCATCTCACACGTGTCTCTGGCTCTAACCCTTTGATGCTAGCCGAAATTATTCCTCTGGGGTTTGTTGCATCGCAAAATACTACAGATTGTCTACTTAATCCCCAGCTGTCTACAAAAACTATGATCGAATTCTTTTCTTGGCTTCCTGGTAGATTTAAGTATCGAGTGATATCATACTTTTCCGCGCCTAGCGAAGTAAATATCTCTGGCCCAGTTTTCGTTCCCGGAAAGAAAAATTGTCTTGAAAATGTTGTGTGCCCACCCACAAATTGACCATTGACAAAAATTGTACATCGGTGTCTCATGTTAACGTGAAGCCATACATTTTCCGCTATATATTTGCATGGAAATTCTCCAAGGTACAGCACATGACCGGATACATAATAATTCTCGAGTGCCCCACCATTCTTCAATTCTATTGGTCTCCAGCTCAATTCCGGAAAGTAGGTGACGCGTGTACGCCAATTATACAATTTGGGAGCGAGGTGTACCTCGGAGGTTTTTTCGCCCGCCGTAAGCTGTTTCTTGCAGACAAACGGAAGTGGATAAGTCTGATGAATTTGTTGGCGAACATGATCGGCGGGTGGTTTTGATGATAGTATTGTTATTTCGTGTTCTTGATCGCCATGTTCTGTCTCTATGGTTGCGTTTAGATTGTTGTAGTAAACATTTTGTGTTCCCCATGTGACAATTGTTGGTGAATGAGGAAGAAAGACAGTTCGATTGTCCGATTGTGCCCAATGAGGTTCATCAAACATTGCGTGGAGTGTACCAAGGAATTCCTTGTGCAATGCCAAGACGTACAGATCCTTTGTTGTTTCTGCACTTCGAATTCTTGCATACCCTCCAACGCCATTAAATGACAAAATGTGAATTGCCTGCCCAACCTTTCTAATGGAATAACCGAGATTTCCATCTACTGAAATCGCTCCTTGAAATGCCATTTCACCGACATTGTTTACTGGCACTATCCAAATCTCGCACCCTTTGTCGATCACTTTTCCATCATCATCTTCGGTTGGGGGGGAGAATCACTCTCAGATGTATGGGTAGTGTTGAAAATATGAGCTTTAATCCGGTTGTGGTCACGTAGTTTCCTAACGCGATGAATGAACTTTTGTGTGGTAAATAACAATGCATCAAATATTTTTGTGCACGTCTCTGACCTTCTTGATATTCTACATAAAGTTGGAATATCGGATGCTTTTGTTCACTGAAATTTCTTATGAATGTAAATAACACCCCATTTTTTCGATTGTCCGGATTCACAACTGACCGCCTCTGACAGTTGATTACGTTATTGATCGAAGCGGTGACATTTGGATTCTTGACGCGTTCCGTTTTAGCGAACGAGTCGAAAAAGCTGCGTGCAAACAATATTCCAAGGCGTAATTTGCGGAGGCGCGATGAAATGTATCCATACTCTCGGATACACGCCGAGTAGTCGTAAGAAGTGTAACCGTCACTGTTATAGGCGCAGATAAATTCATTAAATAATGAAATCAAGCATCAAGAATATCGATTAGAAAATTAATTACGTGTCGCCTAAGGTCCCCCAATTTGTCCCGCCATATGTCATATAAAGTGACAACATGGTGCAACCTTGGGCTAGCACAGAATCAAAGACAACGTGGGTAAAAGAATCGCCATAAAAATTATAGACATCATCAAAGGTATGCTGTAACCTGTAAGTTGTGAACCATCCACCCTGAAGTTCGGGAATAAAGATAGGCGACTAATAATTTGTAGTTCATAAACATCCCGGTCGTCACCAATAGACTATTAGGACTTTGTTAATCCATGACCAACAAGATCAACATCAGAATACGAAATACCTTGGCGGCTTCATATCCAAAACCACGCACAGTATTCTCAATTCCGTCCAAGGATTTCATCACTACTTTGGGATCCCATTGTTTCCACCTTTTGGGATCTTGTTGAACATTGAATGCCCAGGGTGTTGGCTCGCTGGCTGGGACAAATACTGTGATATTGTTAGATGAGGTGAAAAACATTTGTTGTTATTAACGAAACGAAACAAAATGAAACGAGCACAAAGAGAAGTAGGATCAATAACATAGAGGTAGCTACCAAGATACTTGTCAAATCCGTAAAGGTCCAGTCCAAAGCTTTTCCTTCCAAAGAAATGTGATGAGGGTTTGGAATCAATTTCGGGCTTTGCGATGAATGATCCTGCTTCGAACCCGTCATTCGTGAATAATGGCACGGTGATGCCACAATCTCTTGCCGTCTTACACAAAAATCTCATTTCATCATGTAACGCGAAAGGAATATTCAAAATCCGCTCAAACAATTCATTCTCTATTTGCACAGCGAGAACACATCCGTTCGGTTTGGAGGTAATTTGGTGCTCAGAAATGATGGGCAAAATATTCTCGAACCATTGTTTCTCATATTCCGAAAATTTTGAATCATATGACTTGAAGCCGGAGTGTAAAACATGACGCAGTTTCTTGACCTTTTCAACCACCCAAATTGGAAATCCGCCGGCTTGAGTTTCGGCACAGATGTACGGGCCTGGCGCTGCAAGAACATAAAGATTTAGCTCTTCGCATAAATCCAGTAAATAATTGATATCCCTGTTGTCCTTGAAATTGTATATTCCTTCGTCAGGACTATGATAGCCCCAGTGAAAGTAAATTCTGATACAATTAAATCCCCCGGCACGATATTTCTTAAGAATGCTTTCCCATCGTGACCTATCTGGAAGACGCCAATAGTGAAATTCGCCACTGATAATTAAAGTAGGAATGCCGTGGATATACAGGTGATACTTGTCCCAGTTCAGGATATGACCGAATTTATGTTTATCATAAGCAACCTCGGTAGTGGTAATAGGCAAGCTTCCCTTACGACTTTGAAGTAGCCATACATAAAAAGCTACAAAGCTGGCAGGAAGAAAAGCCAAAAAAGCTGCAAGTTCTACAATGGCCATGAGTTTGTAGTTTCGGTCCCGACGCCGAAAGTCTTATTTTAACCATTTGTGGCTGACAGGCTATCACGTGCACAAACAGTTAACTGGGTGGGAAAAATTCAACCCGATTATGCGAATCGGTGTGGCTGGTGTCCAACGTTTTTCTATATTTGTATTTAAAAAAAAATAATTAATTCTATTTGTTAAATTTAACATAATTATTATTTACTATAATTACATATAAAAATTTATCTATCTATCTAATTATTTTAATGCTTAATTCATATGATAAATTTCGCATAACATAAAAAATTTAAATTAAATTAAAATAAGTGAAATTTGATATAAATGTTTTATAACCAGCACGATTTTTCTTAAATGATAAAAATTGTAAGTATTTTTTTCCAAAAATATATAAATAATCTTTTGATTTGCGGATATCATATTCTTTTATCAGGCATACAAAACATCAATCGATCAATTACGATCGAATCAATTAAATGATATCATAAGTTTTCAATAGATTTAACAGGCACATTGTACTTTATTTTCTTTTTTTCAAAATTATCCAGCGTGTGACGCATTGTACACTGTTAATAAAAGACTGGAGTGTATCATTCGTTATCTATTACACTCAATCAAATTATTCTTTAATATCTTTATTCCTCTTCTACCTGATTGGGCAGAAGTACAAAGTTCCAAGAGCTTTAATCATGCCGTGAATTGCGAGATTACAGGGTTATGCATGTGCCGCGGCATTGTTTTACTGCTAGTATGTATTATAGTAAAAGTGCAAATTGATCAATTCAAAAATGATATTAAATTGTTCTACGTATATACCATAAGGGGTTACGCAATTTCTGTACAGTATTACTTCTTACCAAAACGGGTTACTTTGGTCAGAGCTATACAGTCTTGGTTATCATGTGTATACTATGTATACTAGTAAATTCTAGTTAGAATTTGGTATTCATTAATATACACAGCCGATCTTTTATTTGGCGTACGCACACTTGTACTAAAGATTACACTTGTTCAAAAATAATATAAAGCCTCGTATTATTCATCATTTCCACTTCCAATATTTTCATCGATTTCCTATCTACCCGCACCCTCCAAATCCGACCTTTTTTACCATCTTTTTTTTGTCGATATCCATCACTAACATCAAACCTCTGTTACCCAAACGTTTCATTCCTTGACGTATAAAGTATATCGTGATTAATAGCCCAAACTTCTGGAAAGTTTAATCAGTCCCTACTTCAGAACTTTATTCACCCACCAACCGGAATATATACTTTTTTGCACAAATCTCTATCCTTGCCCAACATACGACTTTTCAAATCAATCTTTGAAATAATAAAAAAAAATAAAAAAAGTTCTTGGTAAAATGAACAAGCAGTCTACATTCTTGTCCATCACCCTTGTATTCTTTATCGCTTGTTTGCTCTGTAAGTCATTTTAATGCCCATTTTAAGTTCTTGAGTCACATATTACAATAACTTCTTTATCTTTTTCGTTAAACCAAATCCATCTATTAACCAATTATCTTCTCGTATTTATTATTGTTTTCGGCATGGATCGACATTTTCCAATTATTGTAAATTTATCTACGTGGGTACAAATCATCAGCCTTGTCACAAGCAATCCCAATAACGGATGTATCATCCACCTCGGTCCTTAAAATGAAGGACACCGCAGGGCGACTCGTGGTGTCCGTTAAGCGCGTTGACGATCTCGTCGACGACGAAGGCACTTGGTTGGCCGAGAGGATATCAGCCGTCATATTCAATTTTGAGTTGATGGATGATAATCTTTTGCTGGATTCCATGCCAGTGAGATTTGGTGTAAAGAATATTCAGGTATGTTTTATGGAATCGGAGAAAAATGAAAAGGAAAATCCGAACAATTTATGCTCATTGCAATTTATTTAATATAGGTCTTAAAAGCTAGAGTCGTTCCCGTAGGTACAAGACAAGAAGACGTCAATAAATATGAAGAAAATTTTGAAATTGGTCTTGTCAAGGTGGAAGTAAACGCTAACGTCAAACAAATGAGCCCCCTTCCCAAAATTGTCATCTCCATCAAGGTCATTGAGATTGATGGTGTCATAATTTCGTCATCTAACACGGTCGAAAATACTTGGGAATTCGAGTTATCGAATGAGGATCGCAACTCCAAGATTTCAACTATCCAGCCTGCGGATGATAATGTCTCATCGTACCGACCGTGCTCTTCCCTTGGTTCAATCCCAAGAAGGCTTCACCGTTGGTGGCGATGTTCCTCAAAATACACGCGAATCTTCATTTCCTCCCTTTTCGTCACTATCATGTTTGGTCTACTCCACTCCTTGATTTCAGTCACCACAAAAGCTGTGATACAGTACGTATCACCTTCAAATAAATTCCACAAATACAGGAAAGTTCTTCAAGAAGAGAGTGGAGATTACAAATACAAAGGAAAGTACGGTGAAGTAGCGCAAGTTATATTTGTGGCTGATGAATATAAATTCGATTCGTGAACGACCGATGTGAATATCATAAAATTTTTATTTATGTATAGAGATGCTAGTTGTTCCTCTTTCATTTTTCAAAACTTGTAACAATACTGCGCAAAAATGGCGAGGGAAGCAATTTAATAAATTATGTATGTTTTATTTACTGTATTACATTTATTATATGATCCACGACTTTGACAAATGAAGTGTGAGGATTGTTTATCACAAAATTTGCTTACTATATGCACACTAGATGTACTAACTAATACGAAACGAACTTTCTTGCTGCTCATGCATAAAAATTTGGTCGGCAGTGCATTCGATTGCACAATGATCATGTTTCTTACTTGCATATGATTATCCATTTAGCTCTTATTTACTTAATACATGTTTATTTATTAATAACTATTTTTTTACTGGAAAATTTCTAATTGCTGTATATCGTGTTGACATTGTGATGGGGTATCATTTCCTGAACTTATTCCAAAAGTAGTATGATTTCAAATTTTCTGGCATGAACAAATATTCTCGTGGCCACGACATATCGAATTGAATTAATTCATCGTGCTACAAGTAGGAAAATTTTGACCTGTCGAATGACCAGCAATTAATTAATCTATCGCACAATTTTATAATTATCATGTTACCTTTTTTATTTTAACAAATACGATTTATGATAAACAACTCAATACAGTAATCAGTATTGTAAGATCACATATGCAGTATACAAAATATCTTTTTGAAACAATTTGTTTTGAGTTTTGATTTTTTTACAATACTATAATTTAATAAAAAGTGTTATTCTTTTAAACGTTGAAATAGGCTATTTAAACTTCTTATGAATACATCATTATTTCATGCATGATTAACTTAAACTATCTAATTCTATTACAGAGAGTGCGCAGCGCAAAAGATCAGTCGCGTCCTACAAATTTTGGTAGAATTTTGAAAAACCTAATGTATTAGTATTTTTTCGAGCGTAAATAATTGTTTGCGTCGTACCTCGAGCACAAATACATCGCGTTTAATTCCATTGATCGCTTATTGTGTTCTTTGAGACACGGTATATTTCCCTGACCATAACTCGTGATCACATTAATTTACTAGAAATGATTGCTACACACGAGATAAATGAAAGAGTATGAGACGTACAGCTCGCACTTATTACGCACGAGATTGGTAAAAAAATGTCTCATCTAGTTTTAAATTTACAAGATTGTTTAGTGATGATACAGTGAATACTATATGATCAAGCCCTCCTCCAGTTAGAAAATTTCTCGTTCATTAAGTAAGTACTTTATAAAACACCACCCTGCTCTATCGGATTTCCACACTTTTGGCAATTAATATTAAGTCGTTTTGTATACTGTATAAAGGTTGATCATTACAGGCCAATAAAAACATGATGTATAATTACCCGGTTTCAAGGCGATGTATTAGAGTACACTATATTTACAGTACGTCGTTAAAAGTTATAAATCACGATGATAAAATATTATATAAAGGAGTCAAGGAAGAAGGAAAATTTTTTCAAGAAAAATCGATTAAACGGATCAAAAGTCAAAATGAAATTCAACCTTCTCTTACTCTTCTTAACCGTCTTTGCTGCTATCACTTTCGCATATCCGAGTATTAATGATCTGACGAAACGTCAAAATCCAAACTGCAACCCCAAGCTTGCTGCCAACCTGGCGATGAGACTTGCTTCAAGACATGTAATTTGCCTAGCTGTGCTTGTAATCCCAATTCTTGTTGTAAACCTGGTGATCAGACATGCCTGAATGAATGTAAATTGCGTGTATGTCAGCCAGGAGAAAATCCTTAGTCGACTCATGCCACCATATTTGCCTGCTTCGGACATTTATAGTTAATAATTTATTAAAACAAAATGTCATTATACAAATGCCTTGATAAATTATTATATAAAAAAATATAATAATAAATTAAATTCTTTTTTAATCTAGTATATACTAACTATTTATAGTAGTGCCGACACGTCTATCCTAACCTGCGACGCGTCCTGCAGCCGACTGATGCACAGTATCAATAAATATCTAACAATTAACCTGTTTTTTTTCTAACAATTGCTTTTATAATGAACTCTAAAAACACATTTGAAAAACTTATAAGAAAAATTATTTTCAAGAAAAAAAAAGCAAATAAAGAAATTATCATAAATATATCTTTGAATTTTTTAAAAATTGGTTTATTAACAAATATTAATGTCATGTTTATATATTATTTCATTTTAAATCATCAGCTATAAAGTTTTATGTTTATTTTTAATTTTATATATCAAAAAAAAAAAAAACTTTAGAATTTTTAAAATAATATTATATTTAATTTTTCCATAATAATATAATTATTTTTAATATTTTTAAGTCAAATAATTCAAAATTAATATTATAATTTCTACTTGTTAAAAGATTGTTTTAAAGTATAAACATACAAATTAATTAAATTTGTAATTATTAATAAAATTAATATATTAAATTATAATAATTCTAAATAACACTTAAAATTTAATTATATTAAAAATATAATATAATTTTTTTTATCAATATTATATACAAATTAATTATTGTTAATTTTAATTATTATAAATAAAAATAATTAAATTAAATTAAAAATATTAAATTATAATATCTATTGTATATACTGTATAGCAATTGTTGTTACTATTTATTTATTTGTATTTTACTATTTATTTAAAAATAAAATCTTTTTGCTAATTTTTTTTATTTAAAAAATAAATATTTCTAAAATTTTTTATATTTAAATAAAATTTTTTTTTTAATTCAATAAAGTGATATTGGAAATTAATAATAGCAACTTAACCACAGAATTAATATTATACGAAAAATTTTAGTCATTTATATCTGTTCTTAATTAGCATACATATAAAACAACAATAATTATATAGATATTAATATATAGTTATTTATAATAATTTCTTTTTTATTATATTAACATTATAACTTACAGTACAGTATATTATAACGATAATTATACATTATCTCAAAAATTTTTTTAATTTATATACAGTATATTGCACCTCTTAATAATTTTAATAACAATTCATCTAATTTTATTCAAAACATTAACACCTGGAAACATAGTATAATTGTTCGAAGCTTATATAGACAGACAATATAACCAGAAATTTCCGTTATTTCCACTTACGTCATCATATTTAATATAACAACCAATCGATACACCGATTTTAAATTTTATTATAAATTAATTTTTTAATTTTTTGCTTTAAACTTACAATGGTTACCATTTTCCTAGTTATATTACTTAGATTTCGTAGTCGATAACAAAAAATAGTTTCGGGAATAATTACTACACATACTGTAAGTCTTTCAAATAATAATACAAAAAAGACGTAAAACTAAAGTAACGAGCAAATGTCAAATGCATTTGTGGTTTCGTTTTGTAATTTAAATTTCATGCAAAATTTTTAAAAGGTATGGTTTATATCTTAAGTAGGAATGAAAAACTTTTAAAATAAAAATATTTATCGGACTCCATTAAAGAAAAATTTAAACTTTAATATTTGTTCTACATCTTCAATAATTACTTAAAAATTTTCCTTTACTTAAAGCTTAACTCTGCGAAATATTACAAATTATCTACCCGTTGCAAATATCGTCTTGCGAGTAGGCGTTCTAACAACTGTGAAAAGGATTTGTATAGTTGTTTTTAGAGTTATATTATGTTTATAGATACTGTAAGTTATAGTTAAACATTTTCATGAGCCGAGGAATTTTCAATATTTAATGAAGAAAATTTGGGATTATCAATTAATATTAATTATGATTAATAAATTTATTTCCGACAACATTTCAAGTACTTTTTCATAATTAGGGGCATTTGATGTTGTGATAAATTAAAAAGTTCAAGGTCCGCTGGTATAAACGGCATTTGGGTGTGTTTATAATTAAGCCCCGAGAAGTTATTTTTTCTCGAAACCTAACTTTTTTAATCTTTAACTTGTTCCTTAAAACCCGAAGGTTCATCTCTTATGATCGATCCAGACCGATAGAATAAAGTATTGATTATTTCTTCAGCTCCTGGTCGCTTCGATGGCCAGCATCCTGACATTGCATTTTTAATATAACTAAAAATTTATTCGTCCTGAATGGAATTTTTGGACTAAAGCCTTGACAGATTTGTACAGCAAGATCTTGATGATGAGGAGTATTATAGTATGGAGGAAATCATGTAATAATTTCATATGCTATGATTCCAAATGAATAAATAACGTTGCCAGTATGTAAGCTTGACCACACAAAACTTCTGGTGCAATTTACGGAAGAACTCCATATATTTCTTGACGAGTCGAGGTTTTTTTCTTCTAATACTGACATAAAAGATTTCCAGGATAAAAGTCTCTATGAACTAATTTCTCCTTGTGCATACTATATAAACCTTCCAAAATCCTTCTCAATGAATTTAATTTCAATTTCAAATCCATCTTGTAAAGGTTTTCGTCCAAATAATTCCTGAGACTATCATTTTCTTGAAACTTAAAAATCAAAACCATCATATAGCTTAATGGATCTGGCTGTTGCGTAATTCAATAACACTTGACGACTTCACCATACCATAAAATAGAATGTTTCTCAATCTAAAATTTAAAATATATTATATTAATAATAAAACTATAGTTAAACGAGATTTAATATTCTTTACCTCATTTATAAGTTTGTCAACTGAGCCAAGCTTATCTAAGCTTTTTAATGCTACTTTCTCGCTTGGATATGGTCTAACCCGTTTCTTATTGAGAACATCTAATTTTTTTAATATAACCATCTTCCCATGTCGCAAAATACACAGTGCCATATCCTCCTTTAGCAATATGTTTGACATCTTGAAATTGTATATTCGGTATCCATTCTAATACTTTATACTAGCATAGGCTTTAACTTTAAGCTGAGACTTTTGCATAAATTTGTCGATTTTTTTATCTCCACTTATCCATTTGTCAAAATCTTGTTGAAAATGAATTCCGTTACATGACATGCACCATTCGGATCCTGGAAATATTTCATAGCATTCGGGACACGACGAAAATCAACTTATCTGATCTCTTTAAACTTGAATTTTTCTACCAAAGTATTATACACATTGCATAACGTTACACGGACGCAAAACACAACTTTATTCCTTAATACTTATATATACATTATATAGTATAACAAAATTTTAATTTACTTGTTATCTTGTAATTCATAAAACTTGTATATATTAATTTATTTATATGATTTATTTCAATCAATAGTAAGTAAAGTATATGCGACAATCATTGGGAAATGTACTGTTACATGTAAATGCGGTGCAGGCGTGTGACGCGATATCGCGTTATGTCAGCTTGTTGTTGCGAACGGCAAGGAATTAAAATAGTAAAATTAGTGTGGGAAAGCTTAGAGGTGGGAAATTCTAGAATAGTGTAGAGTAGCAAGATGGATATAAACATGTAAACAATAGGCACATGTATAAATACATGTGCAATTCAGTAGCATGTAGAGCAAGTAGAAGTTTAGAGTACTAGAGGTTAGTGTTTAAAAACAATAAAGTACGATTAAATAGACTCTTACCTTTTTTTAAAGGGCGCCCTAAATACTTGTAACTCGAGCTACGCGATTAAGCAAGAGAACCAAGGTTTGCCTAAGGGAATTGGTATTGGAAGAATTCTAGATTAGTCGTTAGAGAGGTTAAAGTAAAACTGGCCAAATCGAAGACACTCCTCAAGAGTAAAGAGAAACTTACTTTATTGTCGACTGGACGAAGAAAGAAGCATCGTGGGTTAGCGACTGACTCGCCGATTAGCCCACGACAGTACAAATGAGTGAAGATATCGAATATCATGTGTAGCGTAGTTTGGCCATTTTTATTATTTTTAGTCTCCAGCATCCATATATAATATGAAAAAACTTTACCTAATTTACTGTCTGTTGGTTTATCAAAGTTAGGCCATAAAAAAAAATCTAAAATAAGGGAGGGTAAAAGAAAAATATTGTATATTAATGAAATTAAAAAGTGTTGACATATCTTCGCTCATCATCAACCATTAATTGAAATATACATCACTAACTCTAATATGGAATATCACCCTATTGCGATGATTATGCTTGATTCAAAATACAGGATAATAGTTTGTTCTTTTTCATCATTCTTTTAGTTCCCTGTTGATAAAAATATTAATATATTGTATACTTGATTAATTTTAAAGAGCAATAATAGTAGATATGTTAGCTCTGGTTTCTTTTGTTAGAAAGTTGATAGCAAAATGACATTCTTAGTCTTGATATTAAGATCTGCTTGCAATAATACATTTTTTAGTTATCTTGCAATTGTACAGTGGGTCATCAAAAAGGTCCGGCCAATTTATTTTTTTAAATTTTTTAAATTTTTTATTATTAAAAAAAATTTTTTTTTTAATATATATATAATACAGGTTTTTTCTTTTATTTACATTAAATAAACTCGTGATTTGACCATAAACGCGATAGCTATAATATGGGTAAACCTTTGTTCTTGGATCAGCATGGCGTGATCTTATACGGGCATGCTCGAGGCAATACAAGTCAAACTATTGCCAGCAGGCTAGGATGTGAAAAAAGTACAGTTAATGATATCATTAAACACTCTAAAAAAACTGGAACAGTTGTTCCAAACAAATCACCAGGCAGACCCCCACTTCTTACCTCTCTTGATCAAGCCCAACTCAAGGATCTCATCACAAATGACAAAGAAAATAATTGCCGTTTGTCTGTCACAAAAATTAGAAATGTCTGGTCAGCACATACTAAAAAAACTATCTCTACCATCACTATTAGACGGAACCTAAAAAAAATAGGACTTCGATTTTGTAGGCCCTGCCTGAAACCATATATCTCTGAAACGAACTGTAAAAAATGTTTAGAATTCACCCTCCAATATAAACACTGGAAATCCTGACAATGGAAAAGAATTTTATTCTCAAATGAATCCATATTTACCCTATTTCAACATAGTGATCGAATTTGGCAAGAAGCAAATGAAGAACTTAAGCTATCCTATATTTCTGCTTCGGTGAAACACAGTCCAAGCCTAATGTTCTGGGGGTGCTTCGCTTATGGTGGCTTAGGTCCTATTGTTCCTTTCTATGAATCAGTTACTGATGCTGCACATGCTAAAACCATTAAAAAATATGTCATACCCACCATGCAAAAATTTTTTCACACTGTGATATTTTTCAGGAGAATAATCCTAAGACAATTCCAACTTGGCAGGCATAACTTTGTTCAATTGAAAAATTAATTTATCTGCATTTTGTTAATCCTTAGGCAAATTTAATTATTTCTTGTTTATATAATACAAGTTATAGTTAACATGTGTTAATTAATTACTCAACAAGTTTAACTTTAAATTAATTATTTCTTTAAAATATATATAGTATACAAAATTGATCTAATTACAAATTTTTTTCTTATCTTATTATTCCAATTTATTTATAGTTTTATTTTATTTTTATCATGTTAAATCCTTTTTATCTTTTTATTTTTATTTTTTTATATTTCATAATTTTTTTAATTATATAAACAAATTTAAATATATGCTTATTTACCTGATAATAATATACAATAAGCAGAATCAATAAGATAGAAAAGGTGTTAATTTGACATTACTTTACTGTATAAAGATATTCTAGTCGCTATATATAGGTTGATATTCAAGTTATATAAAGAATTTGATACATTCATCTTTCAAGTATAGCAAAAGTGTACAATAGATAAATTATTTTTAGTTTTTTTATAAATATCAGTACTTAACCTTATATAAAGACCTATATGATCAAAGATAATAAAAAAATTTATTATAATTAATAACTTTGTTTATAATAACAATCAAATTCTTAATTATCATGTTGTTATAAAAAATGATATGTAAAATAATAGAAATTATAAAAGTAACGTAATAATTATATTAGATATAGATATAAAAGTTTTAATATATACAGTATATTAGATATAAAGTAAAATGCATATAAGTAACTTAATAATAGTTTAAAAAAAGCTTTTAAATAAAAAATTTTGTTAAATAGATACTTGATATTAATTAATTAAGATACTTTTAATTAAAATTCTTTTTCCAATTGTCGTATAAATAATATAACAGTAATAGAAAAAGGCAAAACTAATAAAATTATCTGTATAAAAGAAAAATTTTTATCAAATTTATGTGCTTTTTGAAAAAATGGATACTTATATTTGATAATAATTCAAGAATATTATCTATTTATTTCAAAAATGATTGGAAAAAGAGATTTTGAAATTAAACATTGGCAAAATGAAACATAATTTCAGAAGGTTATGGTTTAAAAAAGAATCATTAACAAAAAACGAATGTCTTCTCTGATTAGAAGCTTTTGAGTATAAATTCAAGAAATACATTTCTGGAAATACCCTTAAATATTTTTAGTTATAGAATCAGAAAAAATTAACTAATTCCAGGTGATAGAAAATAATTTAGAGATATTGACAATTAAATTGACTTTTTCAAATAATTTCTTTATGATTATATCTAGTTAATACTGTATATAAAGGCTTAACAATTTCTACGAAAATTCATTTTATTTTCATATCTAATATTATACAATTTTATATTATACACAAATTAACATACAGTATATAAAATGCAAGCATTTATTAATTACGTTGATTTGTCCCTTTCGGCTACAAATATTTAACGAAAAAATTTTTTAATTCTATTGTTCGTTGAAAGTATGGTCAATTAAGCGTTATTTGCCTGAAATGTGTAATCAATCATTCCCCTTATTGGCTTACAAAGACTTTATTGATATTTCATCTTGAATTACAGTTTCTCTTATAGTGATATACAGTACAATAAGACCATAGTGTATGCAAAATCAACCAAATAAGCTAAGTATAATAAATAATGAAAAATAAAGCACATATACGTAATATTTAATTTACAGTATATTGGTAACATAAGTCATTATCGCGACTTACGTGATCGGTTATAATATACCATTTGCGAATTAAATACGTTCATCTGCGTTTATTTGACGTATGGAACGCCAATTTTTCCGCTTTAACGTGTATATTAATGAAGATAATAGATATAGAATTTTTCTTGTCTTTCTGATATGCGAATACCCGCGCCGATAAAAAAGCGCGTTCAATTTTCGGGCATATTTGAGTGCGGGTGAAAATGCAATATAAATAGACCTAATTTTTCCTACTATCGACAGTAACTCGCGTTTGCGTGCTCTCTTCTTTTTAATTAACTCGTAAAAATTTTCACATTCTGCCATTAATTTATCCACTTTCTCTTCGGGGACATAAACACGCATATTGTGTGAATCTATAATAAATCCCAAGTGTTTTATCTCTGTGCTTGGATTTATATGTGACTTGTCATAGTTTAAGACAAAGCCCAATAATTCTAGTTTATGAATGATAAAGTTCCGACGTTCTACTGCTTCCTGTAAAGATCCCGCAATGAATAATATTTCATCAAGGTAGACAAATATATGGATTCCAGAAGTTTTGGCCAAGTTTACAGCTAACCGAAAAATAAAGGAAAATACAGCAGGGCTAGTTTTTAGTCCAAATGGTAAGCACTCATAGCAATAACGTCTTCCATCAAAATCAAAGACAAAATATTTTCGTGCATCAGGATGCACTGGTATATGATGAAATGCTTCTTTAATGTCGATAGAGAACATTAAATCTCCTCTATTGAGTACAGATATCACATCCTTTATTCTATCCATCGGGGGAGAGTATAGAGGTCTTATGTGCTTATTCAATTTTTTTAGATTGACTATTAGCCTTTGAGACCCATCGTCCTTAGGTTTAAAAAAAAATTTAGACAAGAAACATTTTTTATATACAGGGAAATTTGAAATAATTCCTGATGAAAGAAGGCGTTTTATTTCTTCACGAGATTCGTCTGAATAAATTCTTCTCCTGCTTGAAATACGAACTTTTCGCAACCGGGGACACCGGGCATTGTTCCAAGTTGGAAAATAACCGTTTTCAATTATATGATTGGCCGGGTTATTTGTGAATTGCTTATACCATTCGTCAGAAAAGTAATAAAGCCTTCCACCAATTTTAGTTTCTTCTAAAGTCATTTTACTTGAATATTGGAACACCCTGTGTGAAAAACATACATAAATACAGAATTCTAAAATAATACTATAATTTATACGTTACGATATCATAAGAACCTCACCTCTGTATTACATTTATATGTACGTCCATGTGATTAAAATTTTTGTGTCATATTAAATGTTAAAATTTCTGTTCATGTAATTTTCTAGGAATAATGCAATGTTTTTATGACAGTTTCTGGCATTTTCGAGAAATCCTTGTAACCTGAATTCAAAAAAGTAGGTGAAGAGTCATTTATTAGAACCTGCTTCACTATCAGTTTTCGGAATTGCAAGTAGAAGAAACTTTGATGGGAAATTGAGTCTTTCTGTGTAGACAATGATACAGTAGTAAGATTTACATTAATTAGATTAATAAATGTATCAATATTGTTCCAGTATTAGTATTTTGTTTATATTTTCTAAAAAATTTATTGGGTTCTCAAACTTATTTAAAATCAGACACTTCATAAGGTTAAATTTATTATACTTCAATACCCATTCCTTCTTAATTTATTTGATTTTCATTAAAATATACGCTAGGATTTTAACTTAATGACCCCAGAAAAAAGAACCTCAGAGGAATTTAGCCGATGTAGAAGTGGAATTTATCTTCAAAAATTTCAAGATGGGAATTGTCTACCACATATTTTAGATCTACAATGTAACCTTTTAACTTTTTCTTTACAATCGGGTAATTTGTTGATTCATTTACTAACATTACGATATCAAAATAATGACCATGTGATGTCTCATATATCGCTAATCCAGGTTATTTCTTTGTAAAATAATGAGAAAGAAAAATATATTACAGTATGTTAATTATGTGGGCTAGTTGAATCTAGTAACCCTTTTCTCAATTATCTGCATAATAATATGAAGTAGGCTTTAATGCCATACATACCCTCTTGAGATGCGTAATTATTACAAACGTATTAGATTCTGATTTGTAGCACTAGGATATTACGAATATAGTATTTCTAACATATGTAACTACATTTATTAAAGAGATTGCGAGGTTTATCGGATATGTCGTTACTCTATATGAAATACTTTTTATGTTAATGACATACCTAACTTCGGTAAATACGTATAGCTGATCAACTTAAACTAATTCGTAAACTTGATTTGTAACCAGTTGTAAACCGATTCAAAACCGGTCGTGTTTACGTAACGTTGGCACGAAGTATTAAAGGAGGTAATTAAGTTTAAACTCTTGAGGAGTGTTTGGCCGATCTTTTGTCACTTAACTTTATTACAAAACCCTGTTTATTTGCTAGAACTTTCTCAATCCTAGACAAACTTCAGTTTTTGAAGTCACATGAACAAATCGTAAGCGCGCACATACGTAATCTACTATAACGGATAGCGTTTTTTTATATACTTTAAATGTCTTATTTGCACCACTTGATTACATAAGTTATTATTCATTTTCAAAATTTGTTTTTTACCGTCAATTCAAAAATCGTTAAAAAAGTACATACAAAAGATTAAATTTTATTAAATTTTAATTTATAGTAAGATGGATATTTTTTAAATTTTGAAAAATAAAAAAATTTTTTACTGATAATTTTTGAATTAAAATTTTATTGAAAATCATTATTTTATTCATTATTTTTCTCATTGAATCTGAATCGGAAAATAGTGTAACGTAACATGAGTTGTGTGTTTCAAAGTTTTTTTTTTTAGACACTCATTCTTATGGTCATTTTGATTATTACCGTAGTTTGCCCTCGGGTTCCAGGACAAAAATTTAATATAAATAAGTAAAAAAAGTGATGATGGGTACTTTAACAAGGGGATATTATTTGCCGATAATTACGGTACTTTCTTTCTTTGTAAAAACAAACCGTTTCTAGATATTACACAGTTTTTTTAAAATAAAAAGAACATGCGAGTCAATTATAACTTATTATAAGCGAAAATATTCTAACTTTGAAAAGATTAATTATAGATCTATTCTCAGCCGCAACTCACATCTCGGATAAATTCCGTGACGCCTGATAGGTTTATTTTTAGGAAAATTTACATATACATAATGGGTCCTCGGTTCCCATTATACCTTCATTGTTAAGAGGTTCAATAAAAAGATTGGCCGACTTCCGCACTTCTTGTTTAAAATATGCAAAAAGTGCCCATTACACTCTATCTTACTTTCTCTCGCTAATAGCGTTTCACAAATTTGTGAAAATGAATTCCGAGGCAAGAAAAAAAACACTGCAACCTCTTGATGTTCGACGTCAAAAAGTCTAATTGGATTGGTCTAGATAGATACTCGTTTACGATATACATTTCACTTCTTTTGAAAACAAAAACAGCATTGGAATCAATGACAATTTATCCTTACCTCATTTGTAAAATCCATGAGAGTAAGACCACAACCCCCATCCGGAATGTAAGCGTGAATTCCGAGGTAGAAACGAGCGAAGAAAGTGATAATTCGAAAATGAAAAATTTTAACTACACCAAAAGACATACAGTACATCAAAGCTACATATTGTGTGTTTATCCTTGGTTGATGGGCGAGACAGTCCGAGATAACTACCGATAGGGAAAATATATCTAACGCCATTATCTCTAAAATTCTATCAAGATTATGGAAAAAGAAAAGGAGGTAAAATTATATTGACGCAAATTTTCCGATAAAAAAAGTTTGAATATATGGAAGCACATCCCGAATACGTATTCCATCTCCGAAAGTCAAGATCAATAATACAAAGAAACGTCGCAAATCCAACTCTATTAAGTCTAATCTTTTCAATCACAACTATTACCACCATAACATCTACCACCACGACCATCTCCTTTGTCGATTTTCAAATTCATTCTTCCACATCACCACAATTAACAGAAATTTATCATAACACTACAACGACAGCAGAATACTTGCCTCTTTATAATGATTCTTTGTGGAACTAGCACTCCGCAATATAACGAGTCCATCTCCATTTTTATTCAATATGATGAAATGTCCATGCAAAATATCTGAGAATTCATTCGAACAATACTACAGTGGATTGCCAAAAGTTTATGAACATTTTTATTTTTTTAATTGTACAATATTTATTTTGATAATTATAATTAATTTTTTATAAAAATGTAATGACATATTTATTTAATATTATCAATTAAAAAAATTTTTTATTTATCTTATATTTTTCTCTCTAAATTTCATGTAATTGCTAATATGGATGCAAGAAAAGAACTAACTTCCAAACAAAAATCAGCTATAATTTATGATTTTAAAAGGAAAGATTCATATTACACTATTGCAATTCATGTTGAATGTAAAAAATAAATTGTGAGTAACATTATAAACAAATTTATTAAAATCAAATCTAAGGAACCACAACCCTAAACTGTATGATCACAACTTCTCGACGATTGCATCCATATTACTCTTAAAAAACTTGCCACCAATAAAAAGAATTGGTTTTTGTGCAATGTAGAATTAACAAACCTTTTTACATCAAAAACAAAAATTAAAGTATCTGAAAGAACTATTCATTAAACTTTACATTATGAGAAGTTAAAATCTCATGTTGTCTATTCTAAACTGCTTGTCTTCGAAAAGAATATCAAAGAAAAGCTTACCTGGTGTCTTGAACATAAAGATTGGTCTATTCATGACTTCAAGAAAGTAATCTGAAGTGACGAATTAATATTCTCTCAATTTTAACAAGGAAGTAAAAGTCATGTATAGTGTAAATCATATGAGAAGTGGAATGTCAACTATCTTTTTGCTATAGTTAACCATAGCCTGAATCATATACATTGGGGTGTTTCTCGTAATTCAGCACTGGCTCTTTTGTTTCCCTTCACATATTAATTATAGATAAGAAAAATAAAAAACAAAACAAAACAAAAAACAAAACAAAAAAACAAAAAAAAAGAACAAATTTTTTTAGGAAAATTTTACATTGAAACTCTTAAGGAGAATCTTTTGCCAACTCTTTATAATTTTTCCATGATGAATTAAATTGGTACATATTGATTTTAATTTCAACATAACAATGCAAGACTACATACTACAAAAATTACAAAAAGTTTTTTGCTAAAAAAAATGTTTAAGTTATAAATTGACTTTCATAAAGCTCAAATCTTAACCCTATTAAAAATCTCTATCACACAATTAAATGTTGTCTTTAAAAAGTTATATTTAAACCTTAGAATTTAACAGAACTCAAGCAATATATTAAAAAATATTGGAATATAATAAGTCTAAAAGATTGTCAGCAATTAATCAAAAGTATGTCATATCATATTATGGCTTGTATTACAGCTAAGAAAAGATCAACAAAATATTGATTATTTAAGTAAAATTAGAAATATAATTAATATATAAATATTTTATCATATAAAAATTTTTTTTATTTAAAAAACTTTTTTACTAAGTTTTAAAAAGTGTTCATAAACTTTTGACAATTTACTGTATATAGATGAACTTATACATTTTACTATTAATCTTATTATAATATGTTTGATTCTTATATCTAATATTAATTATTATTTTTAAACTTTTATTTTTGCTATATTGCAAATTGTTGTTATTATTGATTAATATTCATTTAATTAAACATGTATATATTTATATTTCAGTTTAGCTATTGTTATAATATGTGTCGAAAAATATGAACAATTAGATATTTGTATATATCAAAAATCAGCTGAAATAGGAAACTCTAATGGCATATTACAGGTTGACCATTATAATTTCGATGAAATTAAGCTTGAATGAGAATTTACAGATTATATATTATAGTGTTGGGTCTCAACGGTAAGTTAGTCGCTAATCCGGACCAAGACTCATACTACGTTGGGAGAGTGGGTCTATGTCGCTGGCGATACCAAAGGTATGTATAATGATAATTATCTTAATCTTCCCTTATGTTTAACTAGTCTTCTCTTTTAATCCCTTCCTTATTGCACTACAAGGTCCTGGATTCTCTTTAAGACGACTAAAAGACAAATAAGGTAAGTTT